ATGGCCTCCAACCTAAGAGCGATGGCCTCCAACCTAAGAGCGATGGCCTCCAACCTAAGAGCGATGGCCTTCAACCTAAGAGCGATGGCCTCCCATAAGAGCTATGGCCTTCAACCTAAGAACGCATGTCTCCAACCTAGTAGCAATGGCCTCCAACCTAAGAGTGATGGCCTTCAACCCAAGAGCGATGGCCTCCAACCTAGTAGCAATGGCCTTCAACATAAGAGCGCATGCCTCGAACCTAGTAGCGATGGCCTCCAACCTAAGAGCGATGGCCTCCAACCTAAGAGCAATGGCAACTCCAATAAGAGCTACTAAGAGTGCATGCCTCCAACCTCAAAGGCCTCCAACCTAAGAGCGATGGCCTTCACATAAGAGCGATGGCCTCCAATAAGAGCTATGGCCTTCAACCTAAGAGTGCATGCCCCCAGCCTAGTAGCAATGGCCTCCAACCCAAGAGCGATGGGCTTCAACCTAAGAGCGATGGCCTCCAACCCAGTAGCGATGGCCTCCAACCTAAGAGCCTCCAACCTAAGAGCGATGGCCTCCAGCCTGCTAGCGATTGCCTGCAACCTAGTAGCAATGTTCAACCTAGTAGCGATGGCCTCCAACCAACTAGCGGCGGCCTCCAACCTAAGAGCAATGGTCTCATACCTACGCGCGATGGCGTTTAACCTAGTAGCGATAGCCTCCAACCTAGTAGCCATGGCCTCCAACTCAAGAGCGATGGCCTCCAACCTAAGAGCGAAGAGCTAAGGGGTAAGAGCTAAAGGGTAGGTGCGGTCGCTTCGGTCAGAGGCCTTGTGCTTGTTGGGAGCCTTGGCTGAGGAACGGGTATTTAAAGTGCATCGCTACTAACAAGTGCATCGCTACTAGTAACAAGTGCCTTACTAGTAGTGCCTTACTGAGGAACGGGTATTTAAAGATTGGAGGCAGAAACTACTCCGAATCCCTCCGGGCGCTGGTCGCGAACTTGCACAAGATGCAGCCCTTGGTCGTGGAGGTGGGCAAACGTCACTAGTAGCGATGCACTTGTTCCTAGTAGCTTCTTGCTACTACTAGTAAGGCACCTGTTACTACTAGCGTGGCACTTGTTCCTAGTAGCTTCTTGTTACTACTAGTAAGGCACTTGTTACTAGTAGCGGCGATGCACTTGCTCCTAGTAGCTTAATTGTAAATTATCGCTTGGAATTGGACAATTGCAGGTTGGAGGCCATCGCTCTTAGGTTGGAGGAAAAGATAAGATTGTTCAGTTGGCCTGACTTCTGACCGGCCATTTGGGCTGAGGAGGTGCCTGCCACTGGGCTTCAGCGTAGCAAAAACTTCACGACGGCGATTCATTGTGTTCACTTGGCATTTGCGTCTGCAGTGCCTGTCGATCCACAGCAGCGAAACGAAGAGTTCTACCAGGCAAGGTGGAGCTGTACAGCTGTCGCATGTTGTCCATGCTGCTGTGGTCTCTTTGTATTTGAGGTGATTTCTTCAAGAGCGATGTTGGTATACATATCCAAAAACAAGAAATAACATCAGAAGTGAATGAACAAGCAAGAACAATAAACAATGAATGCAGATGATTTCCATGAAATTCTTGAAGGGAAAACGTTTGCACTTTGTCATGGCTCTTCAACGTGATGTAAGGAGCTCTCAAAGGCGCTGTTGGTAGCGCAGTACTTCGGTGCAATGAAACGCGCGGTGGAGAAAGCTGAGCTCAAAGGCAAGCAGAAGATTTACTTGGTTCCGCCCGGCCACTGGGCACCGATGCCTCGGTGGGCACGCTCCATTCGTCAGATTGTGGGTTTGAGGGTTTTTCTTGGGACCCGCCCAATTTTGCAATTTTGTTTTTCCAATGTCATTTTTTTGGTGCTTTCTGCGTACGTAGTGGTCTCATTTGTACCAAAAGCAGCTTAGCCATCTCAAGTGTACCAAACTAGATTCCCAATCTTCACACAAGCACCAGGACCTTGGAGACCTTGGACAGTCAGACATAATTAGGTCCATTGTTGTTTTCCTTTCGGCTTTATTTCTTGGAGCTTTCAGCGCCGCCCAGGTGATTGGGGCGACAGAGGTGACAACTACTTCTCATTTTTGGCTTTAAGCATCTCCGAAGCGGTCGGACTCTTGAAGACGGAAGACTTCCAGAAGTTAGATGCGCCTAGGCGACCGGATTGACGGTTCCCGACTGGAAGATTAAGGTTTGAACCTGTCCATTTTTGCAAACCTTCGCTTCTGTAAGGTGCGGGTATTGCTGGAGGATGCGGATGAGCAGAAGAAACTCTCTGCTGAGATTCGAAACAAAGAGCTTTACGACACATCTTGAGCCTTCCCAAAGTGGCAAGAAGCTGCTGGATGGGCTCCGAATGGTCGACCCTTCATGCTGCAGGGCGCCCTGTGGACAAAATGCCGGAAGCATTCGACTGCATGCAGTGCGCTTTGCATTCAATGCCTTGGACCATGGGAAGACATGCGGTCGACATGGTTTGACATGCGGAAGATGGAGCCCAAGGACTTAGTGACTAACCCATTTGTTCCGTCCAATTCTCGGCTCCGAGGCACCTGAAGGGTAGGCCTTTTTGCGAGAACAAGAGTACAAGAAGGACATAGAGATATTCATATTCATATATCATATATATATATATATTACCTTTTTTGGGATTGTTTTGTAGAAACGCATCTTTGCGAGAGCCCAATTCTTTTCTAGCTTTCCCTGCACCACATGGCCGCTTCCGGGAAGGCTGGGACATTTGAGAACACCTTTTCTGGAGCCTCTTCTTAGATGAAGCTCAGCCAGCATCGCAGCGGTGCCCAGGATGCCAGGAGGAAGCTCTTCAGTCCAGCTGGTCCAATCACTGCGAGGAGAGCTGGGTCCATGTCGTTGCTTCACCGAAATGCCCATGTCAGCTCGGAGGCATACCAAGAAGCAGGAGTGGTTGATTCCTCAAAGCCAATCCGCTGGGTTCTCAGAAACTCGTTTTGGTCCAGGCGAAGCATGTTTCGACGGAACAGAGTTGGCCATTGTTTCATCGGCCAGGTGTGGAACAAGAGTGGGCCTCCAACCAAGGAAGCCCGTGATGGCCTCGAGCTTTTTCTGCAAAGCTCCGAAACCTCTTTCCATATAAGTTAGCTACTAGTAACAAGGGCATCGCTACTAGTAACAAGGGCATCGCCACTAGTAACAGTGTCAGTGACAAAATGGGAAGGACTTTCAAGATTTTGACGCAACTGTCCAGTAGCTTGCTGCGCCAACAGAAGCACCTAAGGCGTGTTGAAAACCGACCTTGCACAGCCGTTGGTCAATTCGTGCATTCGCCATGTTTGAACTTCGCAAAACTCGAATGTCGTGATTCTTGTCCCCAAAGCCACAGGTCAGCCTAGGGACCAGGATAGAAAGTCCTTCAGACTTGGTGGTTCTTGAGCCGCATGACTAATGAATTGTTTGGCAGGATGCCACTAAGAGAAGGTTTTCCCATTCTGAATTCTCCTTAATGTCCCTCACCCATGCACATGGCCAGGGACGATCCTTCCCAGCATGCCCGTGCTGCCTGTGTAAGCCTGCGTCGGGACTGGGCGCAGTGTTTTCGAGTCTGGGGGAGGGTTCAGCTGCTTGGCGGAGGACTCGAACTTCGATTTGGGAGTTATCCATTTCTGTCAATCGGAATCTCCAAAACCTAGGACGCATAGTGATACAGCCGTTTTTCGCCGATGCCTTATTCAAGCGTGATGCCTAACTCCAGCTGAAGGAGTCGTCAAGCCAGTGCACATTTGAATGGCATTCCGTTTTCCAACAAGGTGTCACAAAGTCATGGCAATATTATGCAATATTCTGAATTATATACCAGCCTCAAAATGCCACCATGGAAATCACAGTTGCTTTGCTGAGTGGGCGTTCTTTCTCACTGCGTGCGGCACCAGATTTGAGAATTGGTGAAGTGCAAGCAGCCGCAGAAGAGCACTTTGGATTGCGCTTGCGGCTAACCCTGGCAGGTGAGGCTCTAGAGGCACACCTTGCTTTGCGCGATGCAGGCTTGCAAGATGGAGACACCTTGATGGCCACCGTGCAATCTGCATTTGGTATAGCTGCCACCCATTCTGCTTTTGCCCTTTGGCGCTACGGTGGCGGTGCGATCACATGGGGCAATCCACGTGCCGGTGGTGACAGCAAGAGAGTCCAAGATCAACTGAAGAACGTACGGCATATCCAGGCGACGGAAGCTGCGTTTGCTGCCCTTCTGTGATTGTTTGCCAACAACGTCCACGTCGTCATCACGGGCATGGTGCTCTTCCACCATGGCGAACTGTTGGCAGGGAGGCAAGGCCGCACCGTTCGGGCCCTTAGTGCGGATGTTCATGATGCTTTTGTGGTTTTGCACTTTTTGCATCAGCAATGCAAGTGAAATTAGTAATGACTTAGCTGTATGTTGTGGGCCTACCCACTTCGACGGCTTCCCACTTAGTAGAAATGCAACTTTTGATTGCCCTCCTGGACAGTCTTTCTTGCATGATGCCTTCGACTCTGAGTTTTCTCATAGTCATGAGATTTCCTGGTTGTGGGCTTCTTGCGCCCACTGGCTACTAGGGTTTGTTTGGCTTGCCGCCCTGGCTGCGTTCCGTGTATGGGGTCATGGAATAGCCTTCGCATGGGCTTTTGCTGGACATTGCCTAGATTCTGCCTTGGCACCTGCCTCTTGTTTTATGCATGAGGTACCTGATCTGCATTTGCCTAAGCAGCATCCTTTCACACCATGGGAGGAGTCCAAGAAGTCGACTGGCACTGTCTCTGTTTGCACTCGCCTGCGCCGCCTTCTTTGCAGATGGTTTCCCAGAAAGAAACGACGTCTTAGGAGTTCTCTGAAGCCGGCTCGACTAGCAGGCAAATCTAGGGTCAAAGGACCTCGGCGCAAACGTGCCAGGGGTCAAAAACATGCAGTCAGTTGCAGTTACCAAGCTTCCAATGACAGGGCGGCAGTCTGGGCCCACCGTTGGAAATGCGGGTTGTTGAAATGCTGGTGCTTCATTTGTACTTGCCTCAACTTCTGGTCGCCTTTCCTTGGCTTTTTAGTCACCCGACCGGTCTGTACTGTCCTGAATTTTGTCCAGGGAGTTGTTCCTTGCCCACCGGCTGTGTCAGCTAGATCGAAGTATGGCAGACACCGCCGCAAGAAATCTGCAAGGCTGGAGGCCATGCACCATGTGAATCTGCATGGCTTGAACCTTTGTTTCCGTGGAGGGGGTGGAAAAGGTGGCTCTAAGACCACTGAGCGAGTGAGGCAGGAAAACCAGGAGGCTGCTTTGTTGGCAGCTCTTGCTACGGTTGTCCAAAACTTCTCGTGTCAGCAGCCACCAGTCCAAAAACCCCCAGCCAAGCAGACTTTCGTTCCGCAAGAACATCCCCAGGTTCACACGACTGATGAGAGCTCTGAAAAGGGTCTTCTTCAAGCCTTGGAACGTATCATCGCTCGTGCCCAGCAAAAGCCCGGTACTCTTTTGCAACGACTCACTAGTCTCGTGCAATCCGCCTCGAAGGGACATGGCTTGCGCAAAAAGCAGCGTCAGCCTAAGAACAAATTTCCTGAAGCAAGCTCACCGGTCCCAGAGCCGCCTAAGAAAAAGCACAAGATCCCGTCTACTCAGTCCGAAGCACCTGTAAGTAGGCCAAGCAAGCACATCGCTAAGCCCTCGTGGGCTGATGTTGTCAAGAAAAATCCAGGTGATACTGCTCCGCCAACAGCACACACCCCAGAAACCACAATGGAACTTGCTTCGCAGTGCTTGGGCCAAAGATTCCGTGGTATCATTTGTCTCTGTCCACGAGGCTTTAGAAGCCGGAAAGATACCGACAGGTCAAGCATGCCTTTGCCAAACTTGGAGCCAAGTCAAAGACCTCCAACGGCTAGCAAAGCTGCACCAATTGGATGACAGAGCCTTTGCATTACTTCTGCCGCAAGGGGAGGAAAAGCCTGAAGGCCGGAAAGTCAGCTATTTACCTACCTTAGAGCCAAGAGGAAATAGCATCAGACCTTTCTTTATTGAGCCTCTCCTCAAATCTCTCCCTGATACAATGCCTGTTCAGAAAGTTCAAGCTACACATGTGTCGGCAAGCAAGGACCCCCTCACAACCTTCAGGGTCACGGTACCCAAGGTCATGCTTTCGAAAGTTTTGTGGGAAGACATCAAGAACAATCCTCGAAGCCATGTTCACAAAGTTTTTGGTGAAAAGGTCATTCACTCCACTTATGGATGGCGAGAGGTCCAAGTCAACTCGTCCAAGAAACTGGCCGAGCCTGAGGTGCTGTTGCAAGGGTTCCTTCGTTCGCGAGATGAGTTCGCTGATACCATCATGAAGTCGAGTGGCAAAAATGCCCTTTTTCTTGACAAGCTTATGAACCACCCTGCACCCCGACCAAATGTCTGGTGGATGCCCCCTGAAGAGGGTGAAGAGTCGACGGCTTATTTCCATCGTGCGACAAAAGAGGCTGCCAAAGAAGGCTTCAGCCTTTGCTTCCGCAAAGGGGGCAGCACTTGTTTGGGTCTTCGTTTGCCACCGAACAAGGCGAAGCCGCAGTTGCATGCATGGACTCTGCACGGGGCCCCTCGGCACTGGTACGGACAAGACGTGTTACAGTGCGTGCTGGATGCGGGGTGCCAGGAAGCAGCAAT